CAGTCTCGTCGCCCGGCCCCTGGTCCTATGTGTGCGACTTCGTGGCAGTCTCGACGGCCCTCGTCCGCTTCTCCAGTGTCGTCTGCTTCCTCGATGGGCGCTCCCCGGCCTCGTTATGCGACTTGCGTCAGTGACCTCGGGCGTTGGCCGATGCCGCCCGATATAGATGTTCCTGAGTTTATGATACCCCCTCGGGAGAGGGGGGTCAAAAACCCTACCGACCTTGAAGATTTGGTCTGGGAAACTTACAAGGCGAAGTATCCTTCCGCTGTTTTCCCGAAGAAGTACATTTCTCACGCTGTTCCTCGAAAATGATTTCTGTGTATTCTGTGTTTCCTGTTGTGTACGGTGCGGATGGGGTGTGTGTGTGTGTGAGTGGGTGGGGAGGGTTTTGTTTCCCGGTTCCTGCGTGCTCCGGTGTATGTTGTAGGTTTTCTTTGTATGGCTGGTGGGTGGGTGTGCGGTTCCTGTGTATTTGTGTGTTCGGTTGTGGATGTCGTATGCGCTTGTGTATGTCATATTGTGTGCCCTTCAGGCTGTTGGCGAGTGCTCTTTGTTCGGTTGTGCCATTTTGTTTTGCCTTCCGTTTGTTATGGCGTGCTTTACCTGTTGTACGTGTTTGTTCTTTATGTTTTGTTTGGGATGTATTGTGTTTGTACTGTTATGTTCCCTGTTGTGCCTTTGATGTATGTTTTGTTTTATGACGGTTTTGTTTTGTGATGTTACTGTGATTGCTAGTTTGCCATTGTATTATACTTTGCCATTGTATTACATCTTGTTGTATTATACCTTGTATGTCATTGTATTATACCTTGTTGTATGCTGTATTTTTCTGTGTCTTTATCGTGTTTGTGATTTATTGTGACATGCTGTCGGCCCTTCTGGCCGGTGGTCTATTGTTTTCTTTTGTTCTGTTCTGTATTCTGTGTTTTTTTATTGTATTTAAGTTGCATACTTTGCATGTAAAAAAAAAAAAAAAAAAAAAAAAAAAATTCAAACCAACACTCTCCCCATTAGTGAATCAGCAACTTCACGCGACTCCAGCGTAATCTTTATCGTCTATATATAGTCTCGCACGAGCAGTTGGCCTCAGAATATTCTTGTGCTCTCGAGCTGATGCTTGTATCTAAGCATACATCCTGTATATTAGTAGAGGTTTCAGCCAGCCCACTATTCTCAGCACCTTTAACTAATTTTTGTCTTGCTTATTGTAGAGTAACGTAATCATTATTTTATTTTATATTGTATTTTGTCTTTGTATATATTTTGATCTGCACTTTACATAACCAAGTTATTATCTTTATTTTGTTTATATTTGTTTAAAGTAAATTAAAGTTCATTATTTATAAGATTTGTTTTGCGTGTTTTTCCCTTTTACTTTACTACAGGAGACAACCGCCAAGCAGTCAACATTTTGTTTCTCACTTTATTTTTTTAATGTGATTGGCATTTACACCAGCCATAGAGAATACTGCCTTAAGACCTACATTTCTCATCACATATGTATATAAAAACGCGCTCAGATGCGAATGGAACTTTGAGTCAAACTTTCAAAGCAATCGGAGAAGAACTTTCGGAGATTAGCGATTTTGAACAAACGAACATTTACATTTTTATTTATATAGATATATATTTAATTTGGAGTCTGGCCCTAGCTTCGTTAGGGGACAGACGTGTTGCATCTGCGCTCCAGCAGTTGGTGTTGTTTGCTAGTTTCGGCCGGTTGGGGGCGGGTGTGTCTCTGCTCGCCTGTGCTGACGTGGCGTTACGATGGGGGTCCCTCTACCCCCTGTCGTCAGGGCTCAGTCTGTGGAACTAGAGTTCTCTGTGCGGGCTGGTTGCCTGGAGATTGCCCTGGCTTGTGAAATGCTCTCTGTGCCTGTGTTTGCGATTTATGGGGTCGAGTTGGTAACGGCCCGTAGGGCAATTGTGAAGCTCGCAGAAGAGGTGGCATATCGCGATTTTCTCCGGCGATACGAGGGGCGGACACTACCCCTGCCGGATGGTGCGGGCACTGTAACCCTCTCGGATAGAAGTGGTGCACTTACTTACATCAGTGTGCATGGGGCTTCCTTGGAGTTTCCAGAGGGTCTGCTACGGCGGCATTTCGGCCGGTTTGGCGCAGTTGTTAGTGTGAGGGTGAACGTGGTGTCTTCTAGTCCTCTTAAGGGTGTGAGGTCTAACATTCGCACCCTGGGCATGAGACTCCGGGCGGATATTCCGTCCTCTGTGCCCCTTATGGGGGTACAACGTTCGGGTGTTTTACGCTCGTCAGCTGCGGATGTGTTATCGTTGTGGTCTTTTGGGCCATCAGGCTGCTGACTGTTCTGCGCCTGCTGTTGCACCAGTGAATCTCTTCAATGAGGAGGATTTTCCGCCCCTTCCTGTGGGGGATGATTCAGTGGGTGTGGACGTCTCTTTGGCTAAGGAGGTGCCCTCTGTATCAGCTGTTTCTCCGCCTGTTGCGCCCCCTGATGTTGCCGCATCTCCTCCGGAGGTTGTGTCCTCGCCTAGTGCTCCGCCTGCTCCGGCTGGTGTCCCTGAGCCTCTTCCAACTGCCGTTTGCTCGGACCCCTCGTCTTCCAGTTCTTCCTCTGCTGTGTCTGTCCCGGTCCCTGCACCCTCGCCGGCTGTTCCAGCTGTGCTGGAAGCTGGGGTGGATCCGGCATTCCCTCCTGTGCCTGGCCTGGTGCCCTGTGTGGTTGAGAAGGCTGCCGTACTGCGGCATGCGTCGGTTCGCTCGGCTGGTGCTTCGCGGGTTGCTGAGTCTGCCTCCGGGTCTGATGATGTGAGGCCCGAACCTAAGCGTTCCCGGCGTTCTTCTGCGTGGGCTGAAGTTGGCGACTTCGACGAGTGTCGTCCTTCCGTTGACGGTGGGGTGGCTCCGGATGTGGTGCACACTACGGTGGTGGCGGAGGTACACTTGCCTGAGGATGCCGGTGCCGGCATTTCGGCCTCCCCTCCTGGTCTGGTGTCCGAGGGTCCTGCTTCAGGTGCGTCGCCTGCGTGGGGTGGCTCCGGTTCTTCGTGGGGAGTGGTTCCCCCTGCTGTAGTTGGTGGTGAGCGGGGTGGCCTGGTGATGGTGTTGAGAAAGAATGCTCGCTCTGAGAGTTCTGTGGCCCCTTCCTCGTTACCCGTTTCCTCGGCAGCTGTCTTGCCGCCTCTTCCGTCTCTAGCAGTCTCTTCTGTGTCTCCTGCGGTATCCATGGAGGTGCTACAGTCTCGTCGTCCGGCCCCTGCTCCTATGTGTGCGACTTCGTGGCAGTCTCGGCGGCCCTCGTCCGCTTCTCCAGTGTCATCTCCTTCCTCGATGGGCGTGGGTGCCGCTCCCTGGCCTCGTTATGCGACTTGCGTCAGTGACCTCGCGCGTTGGCCGATTTAGCCCGATATAGATGTTCCTGAGTTTATGATACCCCCTCGGGAGAGGGGGATCAAAAACCCTACCGACCTTGAAGATTTGGTCTGGGAAGCTTACAAGGCGAAGTATCCTTCCGCTGTTTTCCCGAAGAAGTACATTTCTCACGCTGTTCCTCGAAAATGATTTCTGTGTATTCTGTGTTTCCTGTTGTGTACGGTGCGGATGGGGTGTGTGTGTGTGTGAGTTGGTGGGGTGGGTTTTGTTTCCCGGTTCCTGCGTGCTCCGGTGTATGTTGTAGGTTTTCTTTGTATGGCTGGTGGGTGGGTGTGCGGTTCCTGTGTATTTGTGTGTTCGGTTGTGGATGTCGTATGTGCTTGTGAATGTCATATTGTGTGCTCTTCAGGCTGTTGGCGAGTGCTCTTTGTTCGGTTGTGCCATTTTGTTTTGCCTTCCGTTTGTTATGGCGTGCTTTACCTGTTGTATGTGTTTGTTCTTTATGTTTTGTTTGGGATGTATTGTGTTTGTACTGTTATGTTCCCTGTTGTGCCTTTGATGTATGTTTTGTTTTATGACGGTTTTGTTTTGTGATGTTACTGTGCTTGCTAGTTTGTCATTGTATTACATCTTGTTGTATTATACCTTGTATGCCATTGTATTATACCTTGTTGTATGCTGTATTTTTCTGTGTCTTTATGATGTTTGTGGTTTATTGTGACATGCTGTCGGCCCTTCTGGCCGGTGGTCTATTGTTTTCTTTTGTTGTGTTCTGTATTCTGTGTTTTTTTATTGTATTTAAGTTGCATGCTTTGCATGTAAAAATAAAAAATTAAAAAAAAAAAAACTTCAAACCAACACTCTCCCCATTAGTGAATCAGCAACTTCACGCGACTCCAGCGTCATCTTTATCGTCTATATATAGTCTCGCACGAGCAGTTGGCCTCAGAATATTCTTGTGCTCTCGAGCTGATGCTTGTATCTAAGCATACATCCTGTATATTAGTAGAGGTTTCAGCCAGCCCACTATTCTCAGCACCTTTAACTAATTTTTGTCTTGCTTATTGTAGAGTAACGTAATCATTATTTTATTTTATATTGTATTTTGTCTTTGTATATATTTTGATCTGCACTTTACATAACCAAGTTATTATCTTTATTTTGTTTATATTTGTTTAAAGTAAATTAAAGTTCATTATTTATAAGACTTGTTTTGCGTGTTTTTCCCTTTTACTTTACTACAGGAGACAACCGCCAAGCAGTCAACATTTTGTTTCTCACTTTTTTTTTTAATGTGATTGGCATTTACACCAGCCATAGAGAATACTGCCTTAAGACCTACATTTCTCCTCACATATGTATATAAAAATGCGCTCGGATGCGAATGGAACTTTGAGTCAAACTTTCAAAGCAATCGGTGAAGAACTTTCGAAGATTAGCGATTTTGAACAAAGGAACATTTACATTTTTATTTATATAGATATATATTTAATTTTGTGTAAAATTTAGGTCTAATTATATGTTAGTTATGAAAATACTTTTCACTGCTCACCAAGTTTAAAACTATATTTACACTTATTGAAGAATGAATGTTATCATAAACTCTTGTGATTGTATCATTCCCAACTACAACACTTTTGCTCTACAGTCATGTGGCCTGGGTTGTGAGCTGCACCATCTCATCTGTTGCTTCATGGCCGCCTACGGCACCCATCGCACAATCGTTATTAACTCTCCAGCTTGGAGTTACAGCAAGAGTGGCTGGAAGGATGTTTTCCTGCCGCTCAGTGAAACATGCACCTCCTTCTCAAGCGACAACACTACTGACTGGCCTGGTAAGATATTCCTTGCACCCTTCCTCTTTAGCAGTGCGGTTCGAGAAAGCACAGGCAGACTGTTCAGTGAGCTCAACAACTGGTTCCTAGGTGATGACATTCTGGCAGGCGCACGAGACTCCCTGCTGGAAGACCTGCAGCTGGTGAAGTCAGGGGTAGACCATGGATCTCGTTCTTAACCCCTCCAATTGCGAAATTATTTCATCCAGCGAAATAGTCATTAATGCGGTGAAGTTAGTTTTACTGGAAGGCTCAGTCATTGAACCCGATGACAGCACACTACCTGGAGCACGTCTGGGCCACAATGCTATTGCTGCAGTCCTTGACGAAAAGTTTAACGATCTAAAGAGGATGGAAAAGAGAATAGGGGACTTGGACTCCCATTCTTGTTGTTGTTTAAAATTCAGCTGCTGGGAACATCAAGTTCCAAGTAGCACGAGCTATGGTGAGCCCATAGTGGACTTATCTGGCACAGGAGCGGGGCTGTAACTTTTGTTGGACTCCCAGAGAGAGAGAGAAGATTAAGCCACCCAAAAGGTGGCTTGGGCATGAATAGCCCATAAGTGGTGGCCCTTTTGAGCCATTTCCAGTATCAATAGATGATACTGGAGATCTGTGGAGGTGCGACTGCACCCTGCGTGACGGGAGATGTCTCCCGTGTGGACTCCCATTGATTGATTGATGAAGATTAAGCCACCCAAAAGGTGGCACGGGCATGAATAGCCCGTAAGTGGTGGACCTTTTGAGCCATTACCAGTATCAATAGATGATACTGGAGATCTGTGGAGGTGCGACTGCACCCTGCGTGACGGGAGATGTCTCCCGTATCTGGACTCCCAAAATGCCCTGTGCTTTTATGGTGCCAAGTCTGGTGTCCTGGGGAGAGGTGTATGCATTGGGTACTAACGTCTTTGTTACATAATCTCTCACAATATCTAGTAACCATTGCCCTTAGGAGATATTATGATTTGGATTAATGTTTATGAACGTAGATTCTATTATTTTTCTTTTGAAGCCACAGAGTTGGGGATAAATTATATAAGAATTATCCCATATAATTTTGTGATCAGTCTCACTTATGCATATTATGCTGTGCTTTCTTGGCTATATATCTAACAGATCTCTTGTGTGTGTGTGTGAGTAATATGGTCTATGAAAGCACATGGATGATTGATTGATGAAGATTAAATCACCCAAAAGGTGGCACGGGCATGAATAGCCCGTAAGTGGTGGCCCTTTTGAGCCATTACTTACGGGCTATCAATATCAATAGTATTGATATTGATAGCCCAATATATCAATATCAATAGTATCAATAGCTGATACTGGACATCTGTGGAGATGCGACTGCACCCTGCGTGACGGGAGATGTCTCCCGTGTCTCTTCCTCGAGGTTCTTTCATGGTATCTATAATACAGTCACTCCTCTAAATTCTCGGAATTAATTACAACACGGGATTCCGGCGGGTAACAAGAACTATCAACGAATTTGGGAGCTCTACTAACTTCGCTTAAAAGGCTTAAACGAAAGCCAGTTAATGGCTGTAACTGAACGACAAACATCGTTTATGCGTCACGTCCTAAGATTGTGAAAAACAGAGAACCAGTGGTCATAACTGATATATTGATAAAGATTAGGCCACCCAAGAGGTGGCACGGGCATGAATATCCCGAAAGAGGTAGATTTTTTGAGTTAATGTGATCTTTGGTCGTGAAAGGCTACAATTGATTGATTGACTGATGATGAAGATTAAGCCACTCAAGAGGTTGAACGGACCTGGAGAACCCGTAAGTAGTAGATTTTTTGGAGTGAATGTGCTCTTTGGTCGTGAAAAAAATACACTGTGTGCTAAGCTCGCATTTAAACTGTCCATCCATACTATGTGGCTGCTATCGCGGGGGGACGATACTGCTTGGCAGTATTTATGAAGGTGTCCAGCAGCTGGACACCTTTTTTGACTAGGAGAGTTGCAGTGTTGATGGCTTCAGGGTGGTTACTGCAAGATTCGGGGACTCTTAAAGCTCTTCTAAGGTCGTTGGCTGCCTCACATTCCAGGAGATAGTGAAGTAGTGGCTTTTCTGTGACAGTTTGGCAGAAGATGCATTCTCTCTGTCGTGGTTCACCAATCTCCCAGTTGCATCTGTAACCTAAAAGTAGTCTATATAACCGAACTGCTATTTCCCTGTGGATTGGTTACAACTATATTGCAACTGAATATATAACCGGGGATGAGATGAAGTACCTCACTTTGGGCCAATAGGCCCATTGCAGCCTATCAGTCTCGTGTGTTTCAGTGATGGCTGGACCAGTATGTTGAATGTTTCGTCTTGGTCTCAAAGATGGCAGAATGTAACTAGGTGTTAGCTGGCTACTGATAGTCAAAAGGAAATCTCCTGCATGGGGAGCACACACAGCCGTGTGGCAGGTGTGGTCACTAGGGCCTGTTCTTGCCTCCAGTTAAGCTGTGGCTTCTTTGTCTTTGATGGGGATGTCCCAGCCAGATTGTTTGTTGGCTTTCAGAAGTGTTGGTCTGGGTGCTTGGTCTGCCAGCGTCTCCCATTTTGTGCTGCATTCTGTGCAGTGGAGGTCATGTATCACTGCTGAGTCTTTTTTCTTTTTATGATTACCTTTTATTACCTGACTGAACCGTAAAAGAGCAAACAATTGGAAGAAAACGAAATTCAAATAAACATATGTACCCAATCTGGCAATGTCGATTTTGCTCCGCAGGGGTAACTATGGCCATGTCCAATTTATGATATTTATGACTCTGATGACATTATTGAAACCAAAATGGATCAACTGTATACAAACCAAAGCTCATATTTAAAGTATTATCCTTGTATTCTAATTAGGTTCTATTTAATTACATTTCTTTCAGTAAACGATGTGCTTCGGGCAAATTTCTTTTCATTCAAACAATTATTCAGATGCCCTTTTCACTTAGAAGTCATAAGAATTCTTTATTCTTATGGATGGCCCATCCACTAGTGGCCCATTCTAATATTTATGTTCTCTATGGATTTTTTCAGCGTGGCTGATAGACACTTTTTCACATTCACTGTACAGTATTGGACAGACACATCCACTTGTGAATTGACGAATTCTTAATCAGCAATTTTTGTCTGCCCTTGCATCTATAAGACCCACAGCGATATTAACATCCGGAAGTGTGTGGGAGATCTGTGCAATGTTTTCAGTACACAGAAGCGTCTGATAGTAGAGTGGACAGCGCTCTGCGCTCGTAATCCTAGGGTCCGGGTTCGATGCCAGTGGTGGCAGAAACAGATGGGCAGAGTTTCTTTCACCCTGATGCCCCTGCTACCTGGCAGTATATAGGTACCTGGGAGTTAGACAGCTGATAAGGGCTGCTTCTTGGGGGGGGAGGGGTGAGTAAGGGGGGGGGAGAAATTAGTAGTTAGAAACAGTTGATTGATTGTTGACCAGACCACACACTAGAAGTTGAAGGGACGACGACGTTTCGGTCCGTCCTGGACCATTCTCAAGTCGATTGTGAGACCATTCTCACAATCGACTTGAGAATGGTCCAGGACGGACCGAAACGTCGTCGTCCCTTCAACTTCTAGTGTGTGGTCTGGTCAACATACTTCAGCCACGTTATTGTGACTCATCGCCTGCAGTTGATTGATTGACAGTTGAGAGGCGGGCCGAAAGAGCAGAGCTCAACCCCCGGAAGCACAACTAGGTGAATACAAAAGGCCAAGCATATTTTTGAAGAACAGATTCCCTCTTGAACTAGGATAATAAAATGTTTTCTTAGCCTGCTTAAAAATTTTATATAGTGCCTACAAGAGGTTCAGGATACTGCAACTTTGAGGCAATTGCAAAGATCTTCGACATTTCGACATCAATAAATTTGTGAGTAAATACACGCAAGGATAAAAAAATTGAAATATATTTTTTTTTGCTAACGCATACAATTCCGTAAAGTTTTCTCTTAAATGCTACTTGGGTGTTAAGATTTATTTGTGTCTAAAGATTGAAAAAAACTGCATCTTTAGTGCTTATCCAGCAATGTTTAGTATCCTTATAGCTCATTACTTTTTGCAGGGCGAGAGGACTCGAAGACGGTGCTATTTATAGGAGTAGACACACAACCCAAGCCGGAGTACATGCCCCTGGCCGTCCCCAGCGACATATCTGAGCGTGTGGTCCGCCTGTACGGGGACCCGGCCGCCTGGTGGCTCGGACAGTTTGTTAAATACGTCTTCAAACTTCAGCCACACATGCAAGAGATTATCAGCAGGGAAGAGAAATCCATCAATTTTCAGCATCCGATTGTTGGGTAGGCTAACCTGTTGACTGACCCGGGACCTGTTGACACCCTCAGGACCTGTTGACTCACCCGGGACCTGTTGACACCCTCAGGACCTGTTGACACTCTCAGGACCTGTTGACTCACCCGGGACCTGTTGACACCCTCAGGACCTGTTGACAGTCTCAGGACCTGTTGACTCACCCGGGACCTGTTGACACCCTCAGGACCTGTTGACACCCTCAGGACCTGTTGACACCCTCAGGACCTGTTGACACTCTCAGGACCTGTTGACTCACCCGGGACCTGTTGACACCCTCAGGACCTGTTGACTCACCCGGGACCTGTTGACACCCTCAGGACCTGTTGACTCACCCGGGACCTGTTGACACCCTCAGGACCTGTTGACTAACCCGGGACCTGTTGACACCCTCAGGACCTGTTGACTCATCCGGGACCTGTTGACACCCTCAGGACCTGTTGACTCACCCGGGACCTGTTGACACCCTCAGGACCTGTTGACTCATCCGGGACCTGTTGACACCCTCAGGACCTGTTGACTCAAACAGGAACTGTTGACACCCTCAGGCCCTGTTGACACCCCCAGGACCTGTTGACACCCACAGGTCCTGTTGACACTCAGGACCTGTTGACTCACCCGGGACCTGTTGACACCCTCAGGACCTGTTGACTCACCCGGGACCTGTTGACACCCACAGGTCCTGTTGACACTCAGGACCTGTTGACTCACCCGGGACCTGTTGACACCCTCAGGACCTGTTGACTCATCCGGGACCTGTTGACACCCTCAGGACCTGTTGACTCACCCGGGACCTGTTGACACCCTCAGGACCTGTTGACTCAAACAGGAACTGTTGACACCCTCAGGCCCTGTTGACACCCCCAGGACCTGTTGACACCCACAGGTCCTGTTGACACTCAGGACCTGTTGACTCACACGGGACCTGTTGACACCCTCAGGACCTGTTGACTCACCCGGGACTGTTGACACCCTCAGGACCTGTTGACACCCTCAGGACCTGTTTACACCCCCAGGACCTGTTGACTCACCCGGGACCCGTTGACACCCCCAGGACCTGTTGACTCACCCGGGACCTGTTGACACCCTCAGGACCTGTTGACTCACCCAAGAACTGTTGACACCCTCAAGACCTGTTGACACCCCCAGGACCTGTTGACTCACCCGGGACCTGTTGACACCCTCAGGACCTGTTGACACCCCCAGGACCTGTTGACACCCCCAGGTCCTGTTGACACTCTCAGGACCTGTTGACACTCTCAGGACCTGTTGACACCCCCAGGTCCTGTTGACACTCTCAGGACCTGTTGACACCCCCAGGACCTGTTGACTCACCCGGGACCTCTTTGACGCCCTCAGGACCTGTTGATGCCCTCAGGACCTGTTGATGCCTCCAGGACCTGTTGACACCCTTAGGACCTGTTGATGCCTCCAGGACCTGTTGACACCCTCAGGACCTGTTGATGCCTCCAGGACCTGTTGACACCCTCAGGACCTGTTGATGCCTCCAGGACCTGTTGACACCCTCAGGACCTGTTGATGCCTCCAGGACCTGTTGACACCCTCAGGACCTGTTGATGCCTCCAGGACCTGTTGACACCCTCAGGACCTGTTGATGCCTCCAGGACCTGTTGACACCCTTAGGACCTGTTGACACCCTCAGGACCTGTTGACACCCTCAGGACCTGTTGACACTCTCAGGACCTGTTGACACCCTCAGGACCTGTTGACGCCATCAGGACCTGTTGACACTCTCAGGACCTGTTGACACCCTCAGGACCTGTTGATGCCTCCAGGACCTGTTGACACCCTCAGGACCTGTTGACACCCTCAGGACCTGTTGACACTCTCAGGACCTGTTGACACTCTCAGGACCTGTTGACACCCTCAGGACCTGTTGACGCCCTCAGGACATGTTGACACCCTCAGGACCTGTTGACACCCTTAGGACCTGTTGATACCCTCACGGCCTGTTGACACCCTCAGGACCTGTTGACACCCTCACGGCCTGTTGACACCCTCAGGACCTGTTGACACCCTCAGGACATGTTGATGCCTCCAGGACCTGTTGACACCCTCAGGACCTGTTGATGCCTCCAGGACGTGTTGACACCCTCAGGACCTGTTGATGCTTCCAGGACCTGTTGACACCCTTAGGACCTGTTGATGCCTCCAGGACCTGTTGACACCCTCAGGACCTGTTGATGCCTCCAGGACCTGTTGAAACCCTCAGGACCTGTTGATGCCTCCAGGACCTGTTGACACCCTCAGGACCTGTTGACACCCTCAGGACCTGTTGACACCCTTAGGACCTGTTGACACCCTCACGGCCTGTTGACACCCTCAGGACCTGTTGACACCCTCAGGACCTGTTGACACCCTCAGGACCTGTTGACACCCTCAGGACCTGTTGACACCCTCAGGACCTATTGACACCCTCAGGACCTGTTGACACCCTCAGGACCTGTTGACACTCTCAGGACCTGTTGACACTCTCAGGAGCTGTTGACTCACCCGGGACCTCTTTGACGCCCTCAGGACCTGTTGATGCCCTCAGGACCTGTTGACACCCTCAGGACCTGTTGATGCCTCCAGGACCTGTTGACACCCTCAGGACCTGTTAATGCCTCCAGGACCTGTTGACACCCTCAGGACCTGTTGATGCCTCCAGGACCTGTTGACACCCTCAGGACCTGTTGATGCCTCCAGGAACTGTTGACACCCTTAGGACCTGTTGATGCCTCCAGGACCTGTTGACACCCTCAGGACCTGTTGATGCCTCCAGGACCTGTTGACACCCTCAGGACCTGTTGACACCCTCAGGACCTGTTGACACCCTTAGGACCTGTTGGCACCCTCACGGCCTGTTGACACCCTCAGGACCTGTTGACACCCTCAGGACCTGTTGACACCCTCAGGACCTGTTGACACCCCCAGGACCTTTTGACACCCTCAGGACCTGTTGACACCCTCAGGACCTGTTGACACCCTCAGGACCTGTTGACACTCTCAGGACCTGTTGACACTCTCAGGACCTGTTGACTCACCCGGGACCTCTTTGACGCCCTCAGGACCTGTTGATGCCCTCAGGACCTGTTGACACCCTTAGGACCTGTTGACACCCTCAGGACCTGTTGACACCCTCAGGACCTGTTGACACCCTCAGGACCTGTTGACACCCTCAGGACCTGTTGACGCCCTCAGGAACTGTTGACACCCTCAGGAACTGTTGACGCCCTCAGGACCTGTTGACGCCATCAGGACCTGTTGACACCCTCAGGACCTGTTGACGCCCTCAGGAACTGTTGACACCCTCAGGAACTGTTGACGCCCTCAGGACCTGTTGACGCCATCAGGACCTGTTGACACCCTCAGGACCTGTTGATGCCATCAGGACCTGTTGACACCCTCAGGACCTGTTGACACCATCAGGAACTGTTGACACCCTCAGGACCTGTTGACACCCTCAGGGACTGTTGACACCCTCAGGGACTGTTGACGCCCTCAGGACCTGTTGACACCCTCAGGACCTGTTGACACCCTCAGGACCTGTTGACACCCACAGGACCTGTTGACACGGGCTCTCTCTCTGCTGGACAACCGGCTGTGGCAAGGCTTTTCTTAATATCGTCATTGACCTCACGGTGTCTTGCATGCCATCCTCCTGTCCTTTGGCAGAGAAGGCCATGCCGTCCGTACTTGTCGGCCTCTGCCTCACCGCAAATACACCTGTAATCGATGTTGATTGTTTATATATATATATATATATATATATATATATATATATATATATATATATATATATATATATATATATATATATATATATATATAACTGAAAACTCACACTCCAGAAGCGACTCGAACCCATACTGCCAGGAGCAACACAACTGGTATGTACAAGACACCTTAATCCACTCGACCATCACAACCGGACATAAGGAGGTGATAGCCGAAGCTAATTTGAACCCCCCCCCCCCCCCCGCCGGCACTCGGATGGTAATTCTTGGGCATAGTGTTTTATCAAATCACCTCATTCTTTGGGGCACACGTGGGGAACACAAATGCGAACAAGCCTGAATGGTCCCCAGGACTATATGCAACTGAAAACTCACACCCTAGAAGTGACTCGAACCCATACTGCCAGGAGCAACGCAACTGGTATGTACAGGACACCTTAATCCACTCGACCATCACGACCGGATATAAGAAGGTGATAGCCAAAGCTATTTGAACTACTTCGGTCGATCGGAGTGGTTCGGTCGGTTGGGGTGAGGGAGCCGGTCGGCCGAGCGGACAGCACGCTGTACTTGTGATCCTGTGGTCCTGGGTTCGATCCCAGGCGCTGGCGAGAAACAATGAGCAGAGTTTCTTTCACCCTATGCCCCTGTTACCTAGCAGTAAAATAGGTACCTGGGTGTTAGTCAACTGTCACGGGCTGCTTCCTGGGGGTGGAGGCCTGGTCGAGGAGGCCGCTCCGCGGGGACACTAAAGCCCCGAAATCATTTGGGCGGGCTGTTGATTGCTGCTGCTGCATCAATCAACATCCCGCCCAAAGCAGCCCGCCCCATGCAGCAGCCAAACTATCAGCCCTCCTGAGAAAGGTCAACGACTCTCCTGGAACGACCCAAGAGTGGCACAACCTCCTACTGTTTGGCAACATATGTCTAGCCACCCCTGCAAGGAGAGACAAAACCTTAGCTGCCTCAGTCATCAAAGCCATAAATGATTTTCCCAGGGAGGACAACCACGTGAGCCTTCCCACGCGCGTGAGAAACACCCACGGCAGGAAGACATGTCTCATGTCTCGGATACGCCACCCCAACAGTGGCGTATCCGAGACATGAAAAATCAGAGCATCAGTCACCAAGAAAATAGAAGAAGGAAACACTATTGGCGCAATACGAGTCATCACCAGTGAGGACTCAATTGCTGACAGAGATGCCGCAACAGCTCAAGCCCTAAGGAAAAAACACCCACCCAGGGCTCCGCGTGAGGACGACATTGTACAAGTTGGGGCTACTGAAGCAGAACCTCTCTGGGTGGCCGAATCTGTGGTCCATAAAGCAGCCTTGTCCTTCCCAACAGGATCAGCAGGTGGGTTCACAGAACTAAAACCCAACCACATCAAGCAAATGTTCAACCCTGCACTGGGCGACATTGCACAGGGCCTCGTGGTGGAACTAACCAGATTCATCAACACATGTCTAGCTGGCATCATACCAGAGGCTATAAGACCTATCTTTTTTGGAGCATCTCTCTGTGCTCTAAAGAAAAAGGATGGAGGGATCAGGCCAATAGCTGTGGGCAATTCCCTCCGTCGTCTCGTCGCAAAGGCTGCTGCGAGAACAGTTAGCGAGGCAGCGGCCAACATACTAAAGCCAAAACAGCTCGGGTTCGACATTCCACAAGGTTGTAAGGTGGCAGCTCACGAAGCTCAAGCTTTCGTTGCTAACATCACAGACGAAAAGGCCCTGATCAAGCTAGATTTTATAAAAGCCCTCAATTTGGTGCCTAGGGATGCTGTGCTCCGTGCAGTTCATCGTCATTTCCCTTCCCTCTACCCTTTTGTACATTCATGCTACATTACGGATCTAAAGCTACTTTTTTGGCGAATGTGAAATTGACTCGCGAGAAGGCGTCCAACAGGGTGACTCCCTTGCTCCTCTCCTTTTCTGCTTAGTCATCAAACAGGTCGCAGAAGTCGTGTCCAGTGAGCTTAACATCTGGTTCTTGGGTTGTACCAGTAATGTAATATCATGTAGCATCATTAATACCATCATTAGTACAAATTAACGAGAGAGTGCTTCACTGCTTTATAATTTATATTTATTTTTGTTAGTATCTTACTAGTTAGATAAAGCATGCCGTGGACAGTCTTCCTTTCCATTTTAGCGAATATATCTTATATTGATTAATTATTATAAATTATTATTCGAGTAAAATTTTTATACATGGAATACTATTCCGTCATCTTCGTAAGGTCTTACAGCAAGTGACGTTACAATGTAGGTCAGTGGGGAGACGCAGTGCTCAAGTTGGTGTCAAATATAAATCATGCTTTTTTTTGTAGAGAAGTTCCCAGTCGAAAATTGATTGGTTGTCTGATAAATTTAATGATTATTTGAATGTAAATAGATTGCTGATAATGTTGTTGAGAATTACAGGCCTGTTAATGTAAAGTTAAAAACTCTTGGGCATACTACCCTTGATAAATGTTTATGATAAATTACTCGACATTCACTGCTCAAGATAAGCAAGATAAGATAAGCAAATGCATAGTTTCGTGTACTACAACCAGTCTCTCACTCTACAGAGTCCACGTCAGACGAACTGACAAGATTCTTGAAAACGGTTACCATGACCTGAAGGAATACATGGAACAAGTTGAGGAATATTTCGACGGTCTCCAGATCTTCAACCCAAATGTTACTCGCAGGATCTACCTCGCTTCTGACGAGCCCGCAGTCTACAAGGAGGCAAAGGAAAAGTAACTGATATTCTCTTGAGTTTGCTGAAGAGGTGACTACAGTGAAGTAAGGTCACCGTAGGCGTGGCATAGCTCCTTATCCCACGCCTTCTAGTCTTTTTTATAAATGTTGCGTTCTAATTTAAGTTTCAAGACGTTCGAATACTTTGTCGACTCTGGCCTTCAAGTTGTGGATGGAGGTGTCTTCCACCTCTTCTTTTTTCAATCGGTTCCACTTATTTGCACTTCCAGACTCCACATAAGTTCTTTTGTCCTATTTTCTCTCAATTTCCAGAGACTGTTCATGTCTACCTGTCCCGTCCCCTCAGCTCCGAGTGTGTTGTCATTGTTACCAACATGGACAAGTACGATATCAACACTTCCCACCTCCATCAAAATCTTATCTTAAAATTGGCCTGGCCTAATATGACATTAAACATTAGCAATGTTAGTTATCTTAACCTTCTCAGGATATAGCTGTCTAGGAGTATGTTTGTCATATCTTAGAAGGTTAGCTTAAACACCTGATAACTCTCCAAATATAATACAACTTTACTTAGCACTAATATATCAAATACCCGGAGCTTATTTACCAACTGTACAAGAGACAGTATAATGCTTCACAATAACACAAATTCTGCTTGCACTAGTAACATCATTTTATTTTGGTAAGGCATGGCACAGGATTAATATGGAGATATGTACAAAACTTATTATTGAAGTGCTTCTCATTCCGATTAAATTTCAAAATGGCTACCACTTTCAACATGTACTCCTCTCTCTCTACTGGTTCGGTTATTAACTGGCTGCTGCTTCTGAATCGCTTGCATTTGTACAACCTCTACAGATTGTAGTGAACACGTGTAAGAATACTGTGGACGATGTCTATCAACAACAAGAGCAAAATTTTAGCAACTGAGGCAGCAAGCTGAAAAACAATCCAATTTTGGCATATAACCGGCATACACTTTGGTGTAGGTAGTAAAGTTCTCCACCAAACGTTCCCATCATATGCATAATGAAAACTAAATTACATGATATATCTCTGAGAAAATCTTTGGAACAGGACGGCAGGATCGAGCCAGCGCCCATGGCCCTGGATGCGTCCACTCGACCTGAGAACGGCTGCAAGGTTTAGCATAAAGTTGTACCTAACATAGATCCATGACCTTGGTGCAGGACTTGCTTGCCCACAGATGTTTCTCTCGTGTTGTGGAACACTCAGTTCCATGATCCCTGGTTGACCATCCTTGCTCCCTTAGATATTCTTTATCGCTGTGAAGGTTCGCAAGCATACTTCGCCGGCACACTGTATGCACACTGGTAATCGAAAAGTCTTGTGAACACCATGATGCTTTAGAATGTGCGCTCCCTCTTGAAGAAGATCCACAATCTTCACAACTCCCTACCCAGTTCACCACCTTTAGTCTTGGGGCTCTGTCAAATGTCGATGTCGAATCGTCTCTTCATTATGGTGCTGGAGTACAAGCTCTACATTCAGTATCGACTAGTGACAGGAGAGAGGGCTCGCCCTCTTGGTCCAGCATTTTTTACCCAGTTCACCCCGCCCCCAGGGCCACGCGAAACTCTTCTGCAATTGGGGCATTTCAGCATGAGAAGTCGGCAGAAGTCCTGACCGTGGCCCTGATCGACATGAGCTCTTACCACATATGCCATACGAGAGGGTAAACCACAACTACGTCCGCCCATGAGCTTCTATGGTGTATTCCAGAATCACAACAGGTAGTACAAGAAAGCCGCCAAGTGTGAAATCAATGCTACTGCTGCTATACTACTTTAATGAAGCAGAGGTTTGGCAAGGCAGACGCTAGGATATGTCTGTTGTCTTCCACACTAAATGTGAGGCAAAGACTGCATATTCCTTCCAAATATATTTTGATACTTCGTCCATGGAGAGCCTGGGCCTTTGAACGCAAAATGACGGAGCACTATTCACGACCTTCCGTTTGCCTTCAGGATGCCAGTGGTAGCACAACCGGCGGGGAAAGAGAGAACGAGTTGACAGTAAACTAATTTTACTGTCCACTCATATCAAACTTTTTGATCACCACTGATCTCATTCGGCTGCTTCTGCCAGGATACAGGCCAGGGCAAAGCCCAAGCCTTTTTCCTCCCTTTACAAAAAGGGGAATTCTAGGAGGCCCTGGCATTCACCGGAACAATCACGGTACTGTGTATGAACAGTTTTCCGATCAAACTTCTCCGTCAGGCACCAGCGGGGATGTGTGTCTTCTTGAATTCCTGCTGGTCCTCTGGTATCTTTGTTAATCCATAGAAACGTGCCCTACTAATCCCGTTCTCCTAGCCTGGACAGGATTCATTTGTTCCCAGTTCCTTCAGACTCATCAACCTCCTTCCATGTATTGGGTAATTAATGTAACGCCTTATATCCCACCTTATATGCTGCAGTGATCTCATACATCTTTCCGTAAGGCTTCAGTGGATTTCACCCCAAGGAGGCACACGTCTGACTGTGCACTCTCCTTGGAACACTATATCATGAACAAGTATTGTTAGAGGAAAATTCTTGCATAATCTTGGATTCGAAAGGAACTATTGACATGGCATCACATATGTCACTCCTCCGAAGTCTGACCCACTTTGGCTTTTTAGACAGTGCAATATATGCTTGTTCCAATATCATAAAGAAGGCTGCTCTTTCCGGGTGATGGAGATGGCGTCTTCACAGTCTGTTCGACCACACGTCTTGCTGGATGCGATCTTCAGTCCACTGTAACTCACCATTGTCCTCTTTGATGCATCTATCTCCCCTGGTGATCACGTTATTGTATATGGGGATAAGGTGACCCTCGTTTGGGAGGTGTATCGCTATCTACAAGGGGCAATCGCTGTATTCCCTACATAGGTGACAGGAAAAGGCCTCTCCAGAACCCGGAAAAGGTTGCATCGTGTATTTTACCAGGACCCACTTACCATCTCAGCCGGTAGTGAGTACATGGGGGTCATGACATATCAGTAGAAGAAAATGGCAAGACAAAACCACTATACAGAACTTGGAAGGAATCTGGATAAGGATTTGGGATGGGGCAGGAGAAGGGACGGTGGCCAACCACTTGGACGGTCGGGGATTGAACTCCGACTTGCATGAAGCGAGACCGTCGCTCTACCGTCCAGCCAAAGGTACTTGAGGATGATTCTCGATACTCTTTGTCTGACAAAGAGACATCATGTAAAATCTCTTAGTGCATTTGAAGAGAAGCATTGCAGGTAAAACTCCTATATCACAGCCAGAGTGCATGCCGGCAATATATGAAACACTGATTGGCTTCAGTGGAAGCCTCGATACCTCTACAGGACTAAGTTGAATTATTACTTAATTGAAAAATTAAGACTAGATTGCATTGCTTCTGAGCATGTCGTGGCCAAGTTGGTTAGGGCGTATACTGGTTCTGTGGAACCAGACACACATAACCTCTGTGGAGGTTTGACTCCTGGTCATGACTTCTGCTGATTTTCGCATCGATACATCACTCTAACGGGATTTCTCTGTGTATCTCCTGGCCTCATGCTTGCACCTGCTAGATATCATGAAGCAGTCTTTGCAGTGTAGCGTTAGGGGCGTCAATGGAGTCCTAGCTGGTACTCCATAAGTTCTACAGTCATAGCACGATATGCGAGGTACATGTGTCTACAGCTCAATGCGTCCTCTCGCAGCTGTGGCCCTTTCCAAAATGGTCTTCTTCATAACGCGCCGGGGCTCTTCCTCCAAGCACACTCTACGGCTTGGCGTAGACTGAAATTTCTGGCGCCAAGCCTGAAATCAAATTTCAGGCTTGGCGGCTGAAATTTTATCGTCTCCTGCTCATGTGCTGTTAACTCCTGAGGCTCTTGTATCTAGGTGCATTAAGCCATCCTCTTATGTGCTTACATTACAGGCTCACTGGTCGGACGGGCCAGTCACCAGTACAAGAACCCACATGTTCGAGATAAACAAAAGTTCAGTTAGTTTTTCATTTTATTCAACATTTTGTAAGCGTGACTTATTCATAATATATACAAGGAATGAGGAATAGAAGAATATAAGGGTGACAATTTAAGTGTACCAGTTTTCTAATTTTAAGCATATCTTTCCTCTGGGCCAAAGTGGGACATCAAACAGCTGCATTTTTTATATATATTTGAACATACACTCTTACTGCTCATATATTTACCTGCATCATTCGGTTTAATATACACGTTGGTGATGAATCCATCTGTGATAACATCCACTACATCAAGGAATGACGTTTTGCCTCGTACAATCTTCTCAATATTGTTAATAATCTTCTCAAAACGATAACTAAGAGATTTACAGAAACTTTACAAAAAGCCTTTCCAACATGTTTTCGCCATTAAACATAGGAATATTTCGATGACAAATCTCCTTTATAAGTTGGGTCTCAACCTTATTCGTCCCATGTACAGAAGACATAACAAAACACGTGGGATATGAATTCCTGAGCGAACAAGTTCACGAAGGCCACGACGACGACCCCATTGCCACAGCATCAACCTGTAGCTTGCCTCAGGGCTCAGACATCAAGATGAGGAGATGCCGGCTCTAAGAATCACCCGCAAGATTGATGAGGCAAATGAGTGCAGGATGGTACTGTTGTAGGCACAAGTAGTTCAGTATGTTGTTTAAACTTTACCTTCAACTCCAAGATTGAGTTCAATTTAATATTTGAATAAGTTAGTTAGTTTAGTTCATTTATAATGCACCCCATACCCATCTTGTGGGCGGTAGTGGAAAGGGTTACAGAGAAGGCAATCGAAAAACAGGCTTCTACGACAAATATATCACTTTGCATACGAGAAAAAAAAATTTGCTATCTTTTGTGTACTCTTGCGGAGAAAGGCAACAATAATCTCATTAGGGTTCACAAACTCATTTTAGTAATTTCTTTTCTGAAACAGACGGTGTAGCAGGCTGGAAGTAAAACGAATGAAGTTGATAAATTGACATAACAGAATCCCAGGACCTTGTTAACTGACTGCTA